TGCTGCTAATAGGAAGGGATATACAGGTGCAAAGAAGGAAAGAGAAAGGGAAAGACAGAGGTAGAGGCAATTCACAGGGTGTTTGAAGAAGGGTGGATGAAGTGAACAGTAAGACTGGGCCTCAAAACCCCACTGTGGTGATGTTAGACAGGCCTTGCCTGGCAGATCTGAGGTCCTGCCAGCTTCTGTATGATCTGGTACCAATTCATCTTGGATGACGCAGGAGATCCCAGCACAGCCGGTATACTAAGCAGAGGTCTGGAGGCTCTCCCACACTATGTTCATGCCTCATGCCCTACTCCTCCTGCCAGCAAAGACTGCTTCCTTTTACAACCTGCACCGAACATAGATGCCTAGCGATCATCAGGAAAGGACCTGGCCTCAAACTCATTATAAACTGTATGTCTTTATTACCTCAAGAAGAAGAGGCCTGCAAAAGGGTATTGATGACAAATTTAAGTGACAATTTAAAAAAGTCTAGTAGTGGCACATTTAATAACTATCTGATGCCCAACATGAAAGAATTAATGTATACAGATGTTACACAAAGGCAAATTTGGGTTTGATAAAACACTTGAATGTCTAAACTTGAGTGCATACTCTTTTGTGTTTTTCCTTTTTAACAAGTTTCACACACACGTGCGTGCGCGTGCGCACGCACACGCACACACACACACACACACACACACATATATGTGTCTTGAGTAGTTCAGATTGACCTTAAAGCAGCCTCCTGAATGCTGGGATTACAGGTATGTGCTATCATGCCTGGCTTTTTGGCAAACTCTTACCATTAATTTCTATGGTTTCTGTATCAACCAGAGAGAGTTTGTGCCCTCTTTCTCTTAGGTTAGGGGATTAGGTTTGGAGCAGAGCTTGAATTGACTCAGATGTGTGTCACTCCAAAGCCTGGGCTCATACTGCAGCCTGCACAGGTGCCAGAGGATTCAAGAGCTGTCTGCCACTGGAGGCATCCAAGTGGCATCCAAGGTAGGAAAAGAAGACCCTTAGGGAAAAATTATCTTGGATTTTCCCTTTTATTCTCTTACCTTGACACCATTTTCTGACAGGATCTCAATATTTTAAAACAGAAAGAGCAGCAAAATTTTAAGATATGATTTTTATTGAACATGTATAAGATTCACCTTTACATGATTACAAACATTTTTACAAATAAAAAAATGGCATTTGTTAAAAAAAGTGAAACATTTTCTGGCTTTATCATTGTACAGTTGAAACAAAAAACACTATAATATGTAAATATGAAGGTCATTTTCCAAGTATTACAATGGAATACTAATGGAATCACTTCAATAATATTGGTTTGGGTGGGGTTGGGGATCAAACCTGGGCTTAACCACTGATATTTACCCCAGCCATTCAGGAACATTCTTCATAAACACTCATGTGATTACTCACACATATATTAACTTCCCAAGGATCACACAAACATACAATACAGGAAGGTGATTCACTAAATATTTCGAAATAAAAAAGAACAAAATAAAAATGTATATACTCTAAATGCTTTTCTTTGCATGGAATTTGTTCAATTAGTATCAGCAAGGTCTTCATGATTTCTTTTACAAACATAAATATTTGAAAAATGCAGAGAACACTGTGTACATCAGCTTTGTTGTATGAGTAGCTACCTAAACCAACATGACCATTTAAAACTTATTGTGCATACAGTAAGTAAATTTTTATATATAAGGAAATAAGGCCTTTGTTTTCAGGATAGTCTTAAATAGGATTAATACAGGAATATATCCTTATATCTCAGCTATTAACATTATGTAGAGTACCCAAGGCAACGTAAGGATGGTAGCCTAGCTACCAACTTGATTATATTCACTTGACGTACCATCTAATAACAGAATTGACCAAGCATAGTTTCTGAACTGCCTAAAGACTTGATAAGAAATGCAATCCCATATATGAGCCCAGTCTGTTGCTCAGAGATTTGTCATAAATACTGAAAGCCAAGCACTTCAATGAGCTATTTAATAATGCTGTCAATGTGAGCCTACAAAGTGGTTTAGTTTGCCTGGACACCTGGAAATCTAAACTTACTTCTAGATGCTTTAATGTATTAAAACTCATGGCTGCTTTAGTATGTAAGTGGTTTGAATGGAAGCTAGATGGAGCGTTTTTTCCCTTGTAGCAATGAAGGAGCAAGTGGTCACCTTCTGTGGCTCAGTTTTGTTCAAAACAACAAACATCAAACAAAAACCCTAACCATACATATAGACCTTTGGATATTATTCAAATAGTTTTATGTTGGAATGGGATGGTGGAGTGTAGGATTCTTTGTTAACTGGTTTTGTTGTTGTTTTGTTTTCTCTCTTCTCTTTTTTGGTATTGGGGCTCGAAGGCAGGACATTGCACTTGCTAGGCAAGTACTTGGCTACTAAGCTACATCCCACCCAAAGTATAGGATTCTTCAGTGTCAGACTTTTTCAGATCCTAAGTACTGATCCACCCTAGTTGTTTACAGAAACTTTCAAAACACCACAAAGGGAAGTCAACTGACTCAAGTGTGCGCTCATGGCCCAGGGACCTCTGTGTCCTCACACAAGGGACATCCTGCCAGTGCCAGGTCTGCGACTGGCTTAAGTCACAAGAAGGGTCTCCTGTTTGGCTGTATATTCTTCTCAGTAAGGCATTTAAGACTCTTTCCTGTCTTACACAAACATTAGCTGGAAACTGCATCGGTCTTTTTTTGCTAGGATCGAATGAGAAAACGTCCCATATCTGCAAACTCGCCAAGATTGAGTCATTTGAACCTTGACTTCTTATTTTAAAAAAAGTTAATTTGTGCTTAAGAATCTACTTTTCCAAGTCTATTTTTCTAAACCCCAAACAGAATCAAAAGTGGATATGGTCTTTGATAAACACTTGTTTTTTTTTTTTAAGCTATTTTGTTAAGAGACTGACAATACATACTCTAAGGACAGACTAAAGGGATATAAAGCAGACAATCAGACAACCCTTAGCAAATATTCAGACAGGCAGTTCCTGCAATTTGTATGGGAACACTGAGACTTATACCTACGATCTACTATGCAGGACACAGCTATTTGTTCTTTTTCCTTCCTAACAAGATTCTCCTTGTGAGATGATTTATAATACCACTTTGTAAACCAGGATGAATGCTGTGGCTGCTAAAATCATAAAGGCATGGATTTTATACTTCCAAAAATCTCTTCACATTTTGGCTTTTAAAAAGGATTCTGTACCATTTTAAATAACAAGAACTAATCTCACATAAAGATACAGACCAAGGCAGCAGAGATACGACAAGGACCTGCCCTGATCTAGCATTTTTTATGTGTCTGATGAGTGTTCTTATGACCCAGGTTTACAGTCTAGTTTTATCATTTTTAAAGTTATTTGCACCAGTGCCAAGAAAAATATAACCTAGAAATAATATTTTGAAAATAGAAAAATAGGTTTTAAAAATGCCACACTAAACATCTTTTTAAACAATGTCTTCATATCTCTAAGACTTTCCTTGATTCTTTCCATAATGAACAATGAGTGCCTCACTCGAAGACAGGTAGCATGTCTTTGTCTTTTAAGATAACATTTGGAAGAAAAGTGATCAGGTTAATTTTTTTCCCCAAAAAATATCTTAAAAAAACAAACAATATAATTAATGTCACAGAAAGCTTTCTCTTAACATTCAAAATATTCTAAGGCAGTGTATTATCTTTTAAAACATTTCAGAATCTATTTGTAAAAATAGCATTGGATGAATGTGGGATACCAAATTCATTTTTTTTTTTTTTTTGGCCAGTCCTGGGGGGCTTGAACTCAGGACCTAGGTGCTGTTCTGGAGCTTTTTTGTTCAAGGCAGCTCTATCACTTGAGCCACAGCTCCCCTTCTGGCTTTTGTGTATGGTTAACTGGAGGTAAGAGTCTTCAGGGACTTTCCTGCAGGCTGGTTTGAACAGGGACTCTCAGATCTCAGCTGAGTAGCTAGGATTACAGGCATGAGCCACTGATGCCTGGCTAGGATACACGATTCTTGACCTATTAAAAATGAAGTCTGAACATGAACTATTCCAATTTTTCTAAACCTCTCAATTTGAGAGATTAAAATAATCTATTTCCTCTCTTATTCTGTGAACATAAAAATACATAGGCCAAAGTAATTCTCTTCCAACCTAGCTTCTCTCCTGGACACGATTGTGAAAGTAAGGATGGGGATATCACTCACTTTACAGAGCCTATGTTTTTCTTCAGTGATTGAGTGGTTCTGAGAGAATTTAGACTGTTCCCCATGGGAACACTCATGTTAGACCAGGCTTATCTGCTGTGCTGTTAAACTGGAATCTGGACCAAATATGTCACAGTGCACAGTCTTGCCTCAGAACAACTTGTGACACAGTAAAGACGAAAGCACAGCACGTGATCACAGGGAGCTAGAGAGGAAACCCAGCAGCCCTGCAGCGCCATGCCAGCCAGCTGATCTCCCGTCTTCTAGCCGCTGCTGGGTCAGAAGAAGACGCAGTTTCAGACCAGTCTGAATTTATATAGAAAAAGGATGCTACCTCTACCAGATCATTATTTTCCTCTTGTTCTAAATTTAGATGGCTGAACCAGCAGACCTTAACAGCCAGCAAATTAAACAGCTCCTCTGTGACGGTGCCTGATGAAGGCCTAATATATTGAATATTAAGCTTATTTCAGGTCTCTTATGTAGTGCTAGTCTGGGTTCTGCAGCACATCTAACACGGACAAGTAACACAGATGCTGTGTGGAAAAGGCATTATGTACACCTACTACCTCAGATGTGAACACATTTGCCACTGATTCATGACTGATAATGTTGGGAATTCTTTTTTTTTTTTTTTTTTTTTGGTCCAGTCGTGGGGCCTGAACTCTGGGCCTGGGCACTGTCCCTCAGCTCTTCAGCTCAAGACTAGTGTTCTACCACTTAAGCCACAGCGCCACTTCCAGCTTTTTCTGCTTATGTGGTGCTGAGGAATCAAACCCAGGGCCTCATACATGCAAGGCAAGCGCTCTACCACTGAGCCACCTTCCCAGCCCAGGGAATTCTTATTAAGCATCTTACATGTTTAAATTCTAGATCATTTTCCCAACGTGTGAACAGCCATGCAGGATATCAATTACCACATCAAAAAGGAGTCAACCAACTCAATACAACACTGTAGGGTAATACAACATGGAAGATTTGCTTAACAGGAATTGCATCTACCTTGATAGAAGTTATAGGGCTTACATTCCATTCACATACTGTCTTTTAAATGTGAAATTAAGAATAAATGAAACAGAACAGAAACTACAGCCCAAATCTATTGAGTACCTCTACCACTGGAGTACTGAGCTCTCAGTTAAGTGTCCAATACTGGCTTCTTCATGGAGGTAGGGTGGGGCAGGCCTTGGAAGCAAAGCAGGGGGTTTCATCACCACAGGAGCAGTGTCCAAGGCACAGGGGACACTGCCTTGGACCAACATTCAGATGCCCCCTCACTGGTGGGAAGGGTGGCACTAGGGCTTACACGAGACAGCATCAGTGTTGGCTTTCCTCTTGATACATGAACTTCGTTTTCGAAATAGGTTCATTTTTCTTGTAAGTGCTTTGCACACAGATCACTCACTCCTTGAATCCGCAGAGAACTGCTGGCTGACTGGCTTGATTTCTAGCGTTTGATTACAACCTGTTCGTAAGCTCCAGACCCGACCCTAAAACAGCAGCAGGAAGAAAGCCTTCAGAATGTTGAGCTGTAGCATTTGAAATTGTTCTAAGTAATCTTGGTGCTTTAGGGAGTTTTCTCCTGAATTGGATTATTATTATTGTTTCCAAACAAGGCTTCAAGGTTTGCACAGACAGGAAGGACTTGAAAGATTAAATATTTATAATGAACACATCAGATTAGTCTGCCCTTGATCTACTTCATTAGCCCCACAAGAATCTAGTAATATTTTCCAATCTTGACCTATCAAGCGCCAGGCCAGGATTATTCTTATCAAATGTGTTTAAATTCTAAAATTGGTCTCATCTAGGAGCACGTAAATGACTCTTAATGCATCAGAGGCTGCACTGAGTTAATAACAGTCTTTAGTTGTAATAGTAGTGTAGTATCTAAATATAGCTTCCTAGAAAGCTCATGCTTTAGGGTCTCACTATGAATTAGCAATCCTCTTGCCTCAGTGTCCACAGTTAGGCAGGAATCCATAGCACAAGTCTCCATTATTATGCAATGCCTTTTTAGGAGTCAGTGCTGTACCTTGCAATCTCCATTTAAAGGGAAAATGATTTTGAAGAAGAGTTGTATATTATTATTATTATTAGTAGTAGTAGTAGTAGTAGTAGTGCCTATATTGGGCCTTTAACTTGGCTTCAAGATATTATTCAGCTTTTTCCTTTGAGGCTGGTATTCTATCACTTGAGCTATGCCTCTACTTCTGGCTTTTTGCTGGTTAACTAGTGATAGAATCTTCTGGATTTGTCTGCCACGGCTGGCTTTGAACCATGACCCACAGATCTCAGTCTCCTGAGTAGCTAGGATTACAGGCATGAGCTGCCAAAGGCTGGCTAGAATTTATTTCCTTACTAGCTTGGCATGGATGACTGTTAACTGTCCCCATAATTTAGCTAGTTAAGAGGGCTACCTGGTTAGAAATCACAGATCCTAAATTTCCCTTTGGACAAGTATGGACAGATAACTAAGCTTTCTCCTGTGGAGCATAAGTTGAAGGTATGTCAACTTGTGCTGGATCACCTTCCAATGAATGTGGGAATACTAAAAGACATAAAACTTCGAAGCTTTGTTTGTAAAGTAACTCTGAGGTAGCTATTTAATTGATGTCCTCAGCAACAGATGGTTTTTGTTACTGTTATATCTGTTCTCTCCATTGGTTCCTGGCTTTCTACAGTCCATCTATTTATACAAATGGCAGCTGACTTTGTATTTCTGGATGAGGACCGTTCTACACTTTTACGGAACCACCTTAGTTATCAGAAGGAGAGCTACCTTTGATTTATAAGAATTAAAGGAACCATGGTGAGCAGCATTCGTAGAAACTTCCAAGTAGGTTCTGCTTTTGGTCTTGTCTTAACTAATTAGAACCTAGACACATACTGGACAAGGCAGCATAAGGAAACAGAAGTCAAAGAAGAAAGTTCCACTACAGCTCTAGTTTGTTGTCTGAAGCAATCTTCTTAGCTAGCAAGGCTGACAGTCTCTAAAGGGAGTCAGACGAAAGAGGACAAAGCTCCCCAGGGCTAGAATTTGCGGGTAAGAACACTGGAGAAGAGAGTAGGAGGAAATAATAGCTGGAGATTTTCTAAATTTCACTGAAGGTATAAAGGAAATCTTAAAAGTAGCTAGATATATAAGACCAATCACATATAGAAAAATAAAAATAGAAGCAGTATTTTTTCAGTACTGGCGCTTGAATGCCGGGCCTCAAGCTCACATGATGGGAACTCTACCACGTGAGCCATACCTCCAGTCTTGCTTTTCCTTGGTTAATGAGATGGCATCTTGGTAACAATGAGATGGAGTCTCATAAACTTTTCTGGCCAGGCTGGCTTCCTAGCATGATCTTCTTGATCTCAATCTCCTGAGTAGCTAGGATTACAGGTGTGAGCTTTAGGTGCCTGAGGATGTGTAATCAGTCTGGTACTAGAGCTTGAACTCAGGGCCTTGGGCTCATTTGTTTGGCTTTTGGCTTTTTCTGCTCAAGGCTGAGCCACACCTCCACTAACTTTTTTTTTTCTGGTTAATTGGAGATGAAGCGTCTCATAACTTTTCTGGGCTGGGGAATCCTTAGATCTCAGCCTCCCGAGTAGCTAGGGATTACACCTGGCTCAAAATAATCATGTGCATGTCACAACTTGTGCCATACTAGTCTTTTATCACTAATACATTCTGAAAGTACATCTTAGGAAATTAACAAACGAAGTTATAAAACAGAGTGTCAACGAACCCAGAACAAGGACATGTGAGAGCCTCAGTAGGAACAGTAGTTCTCCTCTAAGTACTATTTGCACCTTCTGCCTCAGTGCAGTAAAAACTTACTTGTGAATTTGTCAGTTCACACTAAGGCACTCTACTTTGTATACATACCTGTTGGGAAGATGGTGGCTGCCAAAAGTTGTACTTCCACCAGGCCCCACAAATAACCTCAGTCCTTCTTCTGCAATATATATTTAAAGAGATCATTAGATGGACAATTATTAGACCATTGACATTTAACATGCCTATTCCAGTAATTCATATTTTACATTTTGGTTTGTAAAAGTGATAAAAAAATTTTAAATTCCAAAAAGCCCTACATATTTTAAACGTCATTTTTCATCAGCTTTGCTAATGATCTTTTTCTTTTCACTGAGTCATGAAGACAGCCCTTTCTACAAGTTTTCACAAGGTTTAATTTATTTCTCTTTACAATTAGTTACTCATTGAAATGGAGTTCATTGTTGTGTCCTCTATCCACCCCAGCATGAATAATTGCACCTTTCAAGATGGTGGCATATAATTGTTCAGCTGCAGGAAAAATGCTGAGGAGGGTTGAAGGATTCTATTATTTCAACCCTCTCAACGGTGACAGTGACCAGAAACTCTGTTGTAAAGTATATGGATGTGGAAGGCACTGAAGCATAATTTAGAAAGATAATGAAAGCTTTCTTTCTTTTGTCTCTCCTGGGTGCTGGGATTAAACCCAGGCCTCACCCCTGCTAAACAACTGCTCTGTCATGAAAGCACACCCCTTTAAACTGATTTCTCTCTTTTTTTTGGGGGGGGGGATGGGTACCAGAGTTTGAACTCAGAGCCTAGGTGCTATCCTTTAGCTTTATCACTCAAAGCTACCACTTTCAGATAAGGACTTTCCTGTACACACTAGCTTTGAACTGTGATCCTTAGATCTCAGCTTCCTGATTAGCTAGGATTACAGGTGTAAGCCACTGGTCCCCTGCATGATCTCTTTTAACTAAAGTTTATTCCTGTTCCAAACTCAATATTCAGTCTCAGAAAAAAAAAGAGCTATAAAGTGTAGATTTTTTTCATTGACATGCAGCAGTAGCCAGCATGGTGTCCTGCCTTTTCCCAGCTGCCCCCAGGAGCCTCACAGAGCTAGACCACAGCAACCTACACACCTTCTGCACTGGAGTCGAGGCTGAAGTCTTGGCTTTGCAGTATTTTCTCCACAATGTCATCTGCATCCACTCTGGTGTCATCCACTCGCTTTAGCTGAGATTCTACGGAGTCCTGTTTCATCGGACATCTTGGGAAACAATCACAGTTTTCCTCCTTTTTATTAACTGTCATGAAAACAAAGGTTTTTTTTTTTTCTCCCTCTCCAATTTAAATTTATCCTTTAAGCTAAAAAGATACCTGTTGAGCTTTTCAGAGTTTGTATCTTCTTTATCAGCCGTATCAAGAGTTGATTCAGTTGGTTTTTGCTCAATTTCATCACATGGCTCGAGGATACTTTCAATTCCTGTTGAGGTACTTCCCACCGAAGTGTTTCTCCGGTGGCAGAACTCGGAGAAACTAGATGATCGGGAGTGACACGAGCTGTACCCTGTCAGAGAAAAACCATCTTGGATGTAATTCTAATAGCAGACACTATGTGGTCTAATGACTGCCCACACCATGGCAGTTTCAAGACCCCTCAGAACAACAAGGAATTCAGTTGCACTGTGAGCCTCTACCTGATACTTTGGACTGCTGGCTTGCATAGCTCGATGTTCTGGAATGTCCACAGGCACCAAGTTCATCAGGAACAGACGCACTCTTTGCTGAAAGATCTGCAAAAAGCCATAACATGATGTTGCTAATACTACTAACAACTAGTTAATAGTTCATTTGCCTTCTATAACTTCTGCCATGTTCATTATCATGAAGTTTACATGATGGTAGGGTGGATAATGATTCCTTTAAATTAGTATAACAAAAACAACAGTATAACAAGAAATAAAAGTTAAATATTTTAGTTTCTTTGAAGAATTCCAATGCTTTTGTAGCATTTAACAACACTGTTTTACAACCATTACAGCTTTGTGTTCATTTTTATTTTTTGTTCTGGTGGTCCTGGGGCTTGAACTCAGGGTGCTATCCCTGAGTTCTTTTATTCAATGCTAGTGCTCTACCACTTGAGCTGCAGCTCCACTTCTGGCTTTCTTGTTTATTGGAGATGAGTGTCACACGCTTTCTTGCCAGGATGGCTCCTAAATGCAATCCTCAGATCTGAGCTCCCTGAGTAGCTAAGATTTAGGTTTATTATTATAAATACTATTATTTTTTTTTGTTAGTCATGGGACTTGAACTTCAGAGCCTGGGCACTGTCCTTGAGCTCTTTTGCTCAAGGCTAGTGCTCTACTACTTTGAGTGACAGCTCTATTTCCAGTTCTCTGGTGGCTAATTAGAGATAAAAGTCTTAGACTTTCCTGCCCCAGCTGGCTTTGAACTGTGATCCTTAGGTCTCACCCTCTTGAGTAGCTAGGATTACAGCTGTGAGACACTGAAGCCCCACCAATTTATTCTTCTTAGATTATTAATTGTACAAAAGGTTTCATGTGGTATTTCTTTCATGCATATACTTTGATCATTATCTACTCCATTTATTAATTTCATCTCTCTCCCCTTTTTTTTTTTTTTTTTACATTTTTAAGTGAGTCTCATTTACCTTATTTTTGTTTTTTTGGTCGGTCATGGGCCTGGAACTCAGGGTCTGGACGCTGTTCCTCAGCTTTTTCACTCAAGGCTAGCACTCTTACTTTGAGCCATGGTGCCATTTCTGGTTTTCTTAGGGTTAAGTGGAGACTTAACTGGACTTTTCCTGCCCAGGCTGGCTTTGAACCGCAATCTTGAGATATCAGTCTCTTGAGCAACTAGCTAGGATTAAAGGTGTGAACTACTGGCACTGGTAATGAGTTTCATTTATTTTTATACCTGCATATCATTACACTTTGATCATATCTACCCTTCTATCATCCTCTTCTCCCCCCCACTCCGTTCCACTGTCTTCCTCTCCCTTTTACATTCATATCATTTTGTTGTAAGGTCTAGATTCCACATATGAAGGAAAACAGGTGACATCTGACTTCCTGAGTCTGGCTTATTTCACTTAACATGATGATCTCCAGTTCCATTCATTTCCTGTAAACAATAAAATTTTGTTCTTTATGGCTGAGTAATAGTCCATTGTTTGTATGAGTGTATATGTATTATCACATCTCAGTCACATTTTCTTTATCCATTCACTGGCTGATGAGCACTTAGGCTGATCCCTCACATGGCAATTGTGAATAATGTCTAACATGGGTGTGCAAGTATATTTATTTTATGTGAGTAGAATAGCAATATCATATTGTGGTTCTATTTTTTTTTTTTTTGCTTATGTGGTGCTGAGGAATCGAACCCAGGGCCTCAGGCATGCAAGGCAAGCGCTCTATCACTGAGCCACCTTCCCAGCCCCATGGTGATTCTATTTTTGATGTCTTGAGGACCCTTCATATTGATTTCCATAGTGGTTACCCTAATTTACATTCCTATCCATCAATGAAATATAAAAGTACCCTGCTTTGACATCTTTCTTTGTCAATATTCAAAGTTTTTTTTTTTTATGAAATGGAATCTCAGTGGTTTCTTGTTTGCTTTTTTGCTGTTGGTATTGGGGCTTCAACTCAGGCTTCCTCACTCTTGCTTGGCCTTTTTTGCTCAAGGCTGGAGCTCCATTACCTGAGCCACACCTCTGTGAGAAAAGAGTCTCATGGATTTGCCTGCCAGGGCTGGCTCTGAAACACAATCCCCTAGGAGTCAGACGACTGAATAGTTAGGATTAATAGGATTACAGATGCAAGCTACCACTGCCTAACTTTTCAGTGTAGTTTTGACTTGCAATTCCTTTTTGGCTAAGATGTTAAACTTCATTTCACTGTTACAGTTAGGTTTATCCTTAAAAATTCTCAAAAAAAACACCCCTGTCAGATCTTAATGTGGTTTTCTTTTTTCCCCTTCTTTTGAGACAGGGTCTCACTATGTAACTCAAGCTTGCTTCAACCTCACAAACCTGCCTTAACATCCTGAGTACTGGGATTACAGGTGTATACAACTACCATTCTCAGCCTCTTAGTGGTGATTTTTTTTCTTTTTAAAGTTTTTTATTTATCATCCCTTCCCTTGCTCTCTCTCCCAGTTTTATTGTTCAAGTCAAACAATAAAGCATTTATTGAATCTGCTTGGATTTTTAAATATCTGGATGGAAATTATTTAATTTCTTAGTAATCAAAAAGACAGAAGGCTCTGGGATTTTCTCTGGGGTCAAGGGGAGGTAGTTATCTAGAAAGAATAACTCTGCTCCTAATAACATCTTTCCAATTCACTATATCCAAAAGTAGTTAGATTCTGATGAGTATTATGTTGTCTGGTAGATACAGACATTGAGCTCTTTGCAGAAGACTATGGTGTGGAAGTTGGAGGGAAGTATTAGCCTAGTGAGAACTGAAGTGGAAGCTTCAGGCTTACGGTTAGAATCCATCACACACTTCCCCTTCTCCAGTATCTGCATAAGGAAGCTCACACTTTGACAGTCTAAGTGACAAGACATGTCATTTAGAAAGTGATAGAGCCTGGCACTGGTGACTCATGCTTGTAATCGTAGCTACTGAGGAGGCTGAGATCTGAGGATCATGGTTTGAAGCTAGTACAGGCAACAAAGTCCATGAATCTATTTCCAATTAACCACCAAAACCACCCCCCCAAAAAAAACAACAAAAAAGCCCCCTTAAGGAAAAGTGTTAGGCCCTGAGTTAAAGCCCAAGAGAAATAAAAAAACAAAGAAGCAAGTGGCAGAGATGTAAAGGACCCAAGATTTTTTTGGCTCCAAATCCCAAATGATAAAACTTAGGGCAGAAATGGATTCACACAGGGGCAGGTAATGTTCAAGAGTCTGTAGCTACCACAAGCTGAGTGAGAGCAGTTTTGCAGGGTACAGGGGTTCTATCTGCCTCTGAATGAATGGAGGAGACAGTGTTGCCAAGTATGATTTTCAGGGTTAGTGAATGGGATTGATAATAAATGTGCAAAGGACCTCAGGCTTCTTACATCTAGGAGTTTCTGTTCTCAAGCGTTGTGGAGTGTGTGTGTGTGTGAGTGTGTGTGAGTGTGTGTTGGAATGGAATCCAGGCCCTCATACATGCTAGTTAAGCACTTCACCACTGAAGCATCCCTTCCCCCCAAATTGCTTTAGTGTTTTTTTTTTAAAGGAAATCTTGCTTCCTTAAAAATCTGTCAAGAGCAGTAAACAAAAGAACACTTTATTACTGTAATGTTAGTGTTGCTGTGCTAAGTTATAATTTGGGCTCTGAGGATAAAAGTTCCCTGGAAATTGATTATAGTACACTGTTTCCAAGTAGATGTACAGAACAGCAGTGCCAAAGCTGCTTGCTTCTAGTAATTCCCCAGTCATGTGCATATTCCAGATGCTAACTGTGTGTTTCTGGGTCCAGGCTTCTTCCCACAGACTACAGAACTGTGATCTTTTCATTAGGGTGAAACATTTGGAAACTAGAACTGTTTTCAACTTAGAAGCAGAGAAAAGCAATTGAGTAATACAGCTATTATAGCAGCAGTTCTGTAAATGATACTGAACACAGAGCAACACAAACTGCCAGTCAAGCAAGCTCCTTGCCACTGCCTGGCCCTCTGCAAATGTTTCCTGTTTCTGAACAGACTGCAAGTATCCCAGATATCTCCCTCTCTAGAAGGCCCAAGCCAAAGGTTAGCTCCTACAAAATCCACTCCAGGAAGTGGAAGTTTGTGGCTCAAGGGGTAACACAGAAGCCTTGAGCAGAAATGAGAAGGTGAGGCCCTGAATTCAAGTTCCAGTACTGGTGTGAACAAAAACAAAAACAAAAACAAGCAAAACATATTCAAAGAGCTGGTTTCTGAATGTACACAGAGCCAAATATTTATTCCTGCATTTGGCTCAGACCTAACTCATCCATTTATTTCCAAAATTTGTTCATTTAATAAGTATTTCTTGGCTCTTACCAAGTTAGGCCCCCAGGATATAGAGGAAACGAAGGTATTAGGGGCATATAATAAATAAGACAAGACATTCTTAAACTTTAGAGATGGAAGCAAACAGGATATAACATGGCAAGCACAAAGCTAAAAGCAACAAAAAGAATCTACTAAGATCTCCAAAAAGCAGTGAAAGAGCAGGCAAGATGGCACAAGCTAGGAAGCCCAGAACTTGGGAGGCAGAGGCAAGAGAATCTGAAGTTGGAGGCTAGCCTGTAGTGAGACTCTGTTTGAAAAGGCAATAAACAGGGCAGTGTATGTCATACAATATGGTCATGGCTAATCCAGGACTTTAGCAATGAGCTAAAGCTAGGTGAAGAAGGAAAGGCATATAGCAGAGCATGCTTTGCTTGTAGGAGAGCAAATGGTTTGGTAAAGTTGGCCTACTAGGTAGTGGTATAGATAGATGACTGAACGAACTGAATTGGATACATAAGCAGAACCTGCTGATAGCAATCTTTGTATATTTTCTTTCTTTCTTGCTTGCTTGCTTTTTTAAAATAGTACTAGGGTTTGAGCTCAAGGTCTTATACTTGCTAGGTGGGTATTCTATACTTGAGCAATGTCTTCCAACCCCTGAGGGAGTTTAAGGAAATAATTCAATGGCTTTAAGCAAGCGTGTTGACAAAAATATGCACATCTTGAAATCACTGGCAAAAGCATGAACAGGGTGAAGGGTTGAAGGCTAAACATGACAGATGCTGAGCTAGCACAAATGTCAGAGCTCTATTACTAAGCAGAAGTTGGTGCTGGATATATGGAATTTGAGCCACCTGGGGCTGCCCAGTCCACATACCTGATTTTTTTTTTTTTTTGTTCCAGAATTGGGGATTTAACTCAGGACTTGGGTGCTGTTTCTTAGCTTTTTCACTCAAGGTTGGTGTTCTTCCACTTGAACCACATCTCCACTTTCAGCTTTTTGCTAGTTCATTGGACAGGAGTCTTACTGACTTTCCTACCTGGGCTGGCTTTGAACCACAATCTTTAGATCTCAGCCTCTGGAATAGCTAGGATTACAGGAATGAGCCACTGTTGCCCAGACATTCCTTAATTTTGACCACCTCCCTGGCCTTATTTTGGGACATAAAAGACCTGATCATGAAGAACATGGAGTCTGCCTAGGGAGGAAGACAGATGGAGTTCAATATCACATGTGACACAAAGCAGACTTTTCCAAAGGACATTCATACCATGCTATATGTTATATCCCTGGAGCTCAAGAGGGAGATCCAGAGTTAACACAATGATAGTGTTTACCTATTTAACTATCATGTGATAGTTAAAATCTAAGGGCACTGGAAACACTGCCCAAGAAGCTAAACCCTGTGCTCCTTTATAAGGAAGATGGAAGAAGATGAAGAAGCCTCTAAAAAGCCAGCAAAGGAATGGTCAGCGGTGGGAGGCCAAGGAAGAGAAACCTCTAAGAAAGATAAAATAAAGCTAGAGGTGGTAGCATACATCTATAGTCTCAGCTACTTGGGAGGCTGAAGGAGAAAGTCAGAAGTTGAGGCCAGCCCTGGCAGTTAGTGGGAGATCATACCCGAAAAAACAAAACTAAAAACAACAGGTCTGGGGGTGTGGCTGAAGCAGTAGAACATTTTGCCTAGTAAGTGTAAAGTCCTGGGTTCATTTCCCATTACTATTCCCCAACAAAAGAAAAATAAGTAGCCAGCTCAGCTGATGGGGGAAAAATAATGCTTCCAGGATTTGACAATTATGTAACTGAAGAAGATAGAAAAGGCAGACTACCACTGCATTTCACAATGAATGGATAGCATATTTCTTTCTTTTTTTGGGGGGTCCGGTCGTGGGGCCTGAACTCTGGGCCTGGGCACTGTCCCTCAGCTCTTCAGCTCAAGGCAAGCGCTCCACCACTGAGCCACCTTCCCAGCCCCTGGATAGCATATTTCTGTAAATGAATCCTTTCTATAAACTATACACACATATACAATGTATATTCCATATATACTTCCAGTGATGATGTCCACAAATGCACACTCAGACATCTATCTATCTATCTATCTATCTATCTATCTATCTATCTATCTATCTATCTATCTATCTATCTATCTATCTATCTATCTATCTGTCCTGTCTAGACAACGGGCAGCCTTCAGGTGTCTACAGGAGGACATTAAGTAGACAGAGAAGGCTCTAGGGGTATCAGGGTTTTGTTTTGTACTTTTTTTCTCAGTAGAAGAAAGACATCAAGATATTTAAATGCTGAAGGGAAGAAGCTAATGATAAATAAGGTTAAATAAGGAAATGTCATGGTCCCCCTTACCTAGAAGAAAGCATGTTGCTGCGTATTTGAACACTGGTCCCTAGTGTCACCTCTTTCCACTCTTTCAACAGAGCATCTTGCTCACATAACATGGGAAGGAAGCTTCCAAGTCCTTCTCTTCCACTCAGCTCAGCATCTTGTTCACACTATTTTGAACAACTAGAGCAGACTCTGATAGGCATCTGCAAGTGTGCTGTGCAACCAGCAGCAGCAGCCTGACTGGGGAAGTGGGAGGGAGAACTTGTTTGTAATACACAATTTCAGATACCAAGCTGGGTCTAATGAGTCAAAAATTGGCTGCACTTAATATAATTGTTTCCAAGTCTTTCCATTTCCTAACAAACGGGGCAATGTCATTCTTTCTGATGGAGGCATAGAATTCCATTGTGTATATATACCACATTTTCTTGATCCATTCATCTACTGAGGGACATCTGGGTTGGTTCCATATCTTAGCTATGGTAAATAATGCTGCAATAAACATAGTTGTGCTGGTAGCTTTAGCATGGTCTTGTTTGTGATCATTTGGGTAAATGCCCAAAAGTGGGATTGCTGGGTCATAGGGAGCTCTATGTAAAGTGAAGTAAGCCAGGCCCAAAGAACCACAGGTCCCATGGTTTCCCTTATTTGCAATAACTAGTATATGTCTGAGTCAAGCAGAAAAGGTCAGATAAATTGATGTTAGGGGAATGAACCCCAACATAAGTATTCAAATGTTTTTTCTTTCATGCAATTGTTTCTAACATATTTATAAGATGATTTCTATGTTGCTTTGTATGTCCCTCCCCCACGGTATAACCCCAGCTTTCACTGTATTTGATGTTGGTATAATTTGTGGAGGGGAAGGGCAAAAACAAATCGTTTAACTAGGGATACAGGTAGACCCATTGCAACAATGAGATGTATAAGTCGTTATGTTGAAAAACAAACTTTACAACTTTGGGGGGAGGGATCGGGTTGGGGAAGGTGGGGGGAGTATGGGAAGGGATGGGAAGGGGAAACAAGGAGGAGGCAACAATGTTTGATAAGAAATGTACTCTCAGGCTGGGAAGGGCACTCAGTGGTAAAGTGCCTTGCATGCATGAGGCCCTGGGTTCGATTCCTCAGCACCACATAAGCAAAAAGAAAAAAGCCAGAAGTGGCGCTGTGGCTTAAGTGGTAGAGCACTGGCCTTGAGCTGAAGAGCTGAGGGACAGTGCCCAGGCCCAGAGTTCAGGCCCCACAACTGGACCCCCCAAAAAAAAAATTGGCTGCAGGCAACAGCAGTCTGGTTTAAAAAGCCCAAGTCCTCCAGATGATTTTCCCTCCTTTCGGTGCTGGTACTGGGGCTTGAACTCAGGGCCTGGGGCATTGTCAGGGACTGGGCACTGTCCTTGAGCCTTTTGTTTGTTTGTTCAAGGCTAGTACTCTACCATTTGAGTCACAGTTGCACTTCCAGGTTTTGGTGGTTAACTTCAGGAACGAGTCTCAGCCACAGGCTGGTTTGAACTGTGATCTTCAGATCTCCTGAGTAGCCCAGATTACAGGCATGAGCCACCAAAGTCTTGCTACCTTGGTTTCATGCTCAAGTCTAGCATTTTGCCACTTGAGCTACAGCATGGTTTCCGGCTTTTTGGTAGTTAATTGGAGATAAGAGTCTCATGGACTTCCTTGCCCAGAATAGCTTTGAACCATGATCTTTAAATCTCACTCTCCAGAGTAGCTAGGATTATATCGCTCAGCTGTCTTTCAGGGATTCTAACACATAACAAGGCTAGAGAACTTCTGACAGAGGGGAAGTGATTGCTGAAAGAGAATCACACTTGAGAGGGGACTGGCAGGAATTTCTGGGTTGTTTTGGGAGGGTGGGAAACTCCTGGTATATCTGTAAGGAACAGATGCTGTCAGTGGGAGGCTGCAGCTTCAGTGGGTCTGTAGGAGCACAAACATCACTTTAGACAAAGAAAGCATTGGCCTAATCAAGGTGCTTACTGATCCCTTTCAAGTTATACATGTATAAAACTTTCATGCTTAACGGATAATAAAAAGTCATCAGGCGCTGTAATCCTAGCTACTCAGGAGGCTAAGATCTGAGGATCACAGTTCAAAGCCAGTGTGGACAGGAAAGTCCCTAATTAACCACCAGAAAACCAGAAGTGGAGCTCTGGTTCAAAGTGGTAGAGCACTAGCCTTGAGTGAAAAAGCTCAGGGACAGTGCCTTGGCCCTGAGTTCAAGCCCCATGACTGACCAGAAAAAAAAAAAAGCTCATCAATTGACACATTTGTACCTGCTATTCCAAGGTGGACTTTGAGAGTCTCTCCGCCTTTTCTATCTTCTTCCAGAGACTCAGATTCACCAGCAATTGCTATAGACATTGATGTAGAAGGAGGCCTGTAAATAAACATTTTTAAGGACCAGAAGTTGAATTGTGGCTGAGCATGAAAGTTTGAAATACAGTTAGAGATTGGTGCATGGTCAGTATATGGCTTTACTGCGCTGCCTGGTAAGATTAGCCTTTTGAAGGTGAGAGCAATAAAAACAAACCAACAAAACACGTTAACTATTAAAAAATTCATGGGGAGCTGGGCACTTGTGGCTCATGCATGTACACCTAGCTACTGGAGTCTGAGATCTGAGGATCACTGCTCTAAACCGGACAGGGTAGGAAAATTTGTGATACTTATCTCCAATTAACCACCAAAGAGCTAGAAGTGGAGCTGTGGCTCAAGTCGTAGAGAGTGATAGCCTTAAGCACAAAAGCCTAGGCTCTGGAATCAAGATTGTTGAGTGTACACACACACACACACACACACACACACACACACACACACACACACACACACACACACACACACACACACACACACACTCTTCATGGAAGAAGGAAGGCTTCCTTTCTACAACAAAATAATGAAAATAGAAAAGACACTGCCTCCATGGAGCCCTGAGAGGGCTCACAGAAGGTACGATGGTGCACACCTGTAATCTCCAGAATTTGGGAGGAAGAGGCAGAAGATTGAGTTTAAGGCTAGCCTGAACTACAAAGTAGACCAACAGTTACATTTTCTTTTTTCTTCTTCTTCTTTTTTTTTTTTTTTTTTTGGGAGGGGGGGGTCCGGTCATGGGGCCTGAACTCTGGGCCTGGGCACTGTCCCTCAGCTCTTCAGCTCAAGGCTAGCGCTCTACCACTTGAGCCACAGGGCCACTTCCGGCTTTTTTCTTTTTGCTTATGTGGTGCTGAGGAATCGAACCCAGGGCCTCAGGCATGCAAGGCAAGCACTCTACCACTGAGTCACCTTCCCAGCCCAGTTATATTTTCATTATATACAAGAGCTTGTTTTTTTTTTTAAACTGTATTCAGTATCTCATGGGGAAAATTAATATGTAAAAGACGCACAAGAAGAATGGTGTCCTTCTGTCATGGTCATTAATCACTAATGATGAGTCATGCCTACATGACCGAACTCCTCTCTCTCTCTCTCTCTCTTTTATTTTTAAAGTTTGTTTTCTTTTGAGCCACACCCCTAGCACTGTAAACTTTAATTATTTTTCAGATAGTCTCACATTTTTGCTCATGGGCCCAAACTTGGATCACAATCCTCCTAGTTAAACCTTCCATGCAGCTGGAATCAGAGGTGTGAACCATTATGTCTGGCTTATGTATTGAGATAGGGTCTTGCTAACTTTTTTGTGCAAGTAAAAAGTTAACTCTGGCTCATCTATGATCCTCTGGATCTGTGCTTCTAGAGTGGCTGGGATTACAGGTATAAGCCACCCTGTGTTGTTTGTTTTGCTCAGCTTTTTTCTTGGGGGCAGGGAACAATAGGATCTCATTATGTAGCCCAGATTGATACTGAACTTGAGATCCTTCTGCCTCAGTCTCTTTAGTGCTGGGATTACAAGTGTGCACTACCCCGTCTGGCTAGACACTGCTTTTTAAGTCACCGCAAGAGCTATGAAGAATACAACACGGACAGAAAGATGTAATATTTACTTTTGTTTTTTTTGGTCAGTTGTGGGGCTTGAACTCTGGTCCTGGGTGCTGTCCCTAAGCAATTCAGCTAGCGTTCTACCTCTAGAGCCACAGCGCCATTTCCTGTTTTCTGAGTGGTTTACTGGAGATAAGACTCTCTTAGACTTTCCTGCTCGGGTTGGCTTTGAATCACAATCCTCAGATCTCAGCCTCCTGAGTACCTAGGATTATAGGCATGAGCCATGGGCACCTGGCTTTAATATTTACTTTTCTAAAGACATTCTCCTCAGATGCCTCATTAAGACCTAATGGACCTTCATTAAGAAGGTTGAATTTCCCCATTCAATTTACTCTCCCAGTCTCTGAGGCTTTCACCCTCACTTGCCCCTTCATTCAACACCCCACTTCTATCCACTCCATCCCTGTCTTCTATTGCACTAAACAATATGGCAGAATGAGCAAGAAGCTTCCACAAACTTCCATGCTCACTATCTGCCTCAGTAGCTAGATTCTCTACCCTCATCCCTCTGGGACAAGCCAAGGACACTGTCTTCCCTCTTGATCAGGTCACTGGCATCAGTACAAACACACTGTGCCAGCTCTCACGTGAAGAAACACCACCTGCCCCCCTTGGTAGCCACTCACTTATGACTCTGTTTCTGTTCATTTTTATAGCAATTTCCTCACAACCATTAATTTTCTCCTAACCTCTTTCACCTGTTTTGAAAAGGCTAAGAGTCTTCTAGCAAATTGCTTGTCAAAGTTACCAATAACCTCTAGGTTACCAAGTTCCAGGGCCAGTTCTCAGCCTGCATCTTCAGCAGTGTATGGATACAGGACATTATTTCTCTTTTGCTTTATTTTATGGTGCTGGCGACTGAACCCTGACCTTGGGCATGCTGGACAAGTGTTCTATTTGCTAAGCTGATGCTTAGTCTGGCTACTCCTTTCTCCATACCTTCTACACTTGGCTTTGCTTCCTCCCTGTCTCACTGCTGGTCCCTCCCTCTAGCTTCTAGCCTGTTCTGTCCCACTGCTCCATCTGTGGTTCTTCCCTTTTCTTCCTATGTATTTTCTTTTTTGTCGGTTGTGGGGCTTGAACTCTGGGCCTGGGCGCTGTTCCTCCGCTCTTCAGCTCAAGGCGAGTGCTCTACCACTTGAGCCACAGCACCACTTCCGGTTTTCTGGTGGTTTATTGGATATAAGAATTTTACGGACTTTCCTGCCTGGGCTGGCTTTGAACCATGATCCTCAGATCATGGTTTATAGGATCATGGTTTATCAGGATTACAGGTGTGAGCCACCAGCACCCCTGGCTCCTATCTACTCTTTAGATCATTTTAGCAAGTCTCATAGCTCTAACTGCTCTCTATGATGGTGTAATGATTTCCAAATATCTATCCCGGCCTGGATCCCTCCACAGACACCTGGCTGTCGCTGCTGTTCAAGTCGTCCCACTGGGTGTTAACAGGGCTCTCAAATTCAGCAAGTCCAACACCTAAACTCTCAACTGCTCCTCTTGTGGTTTCTTAATCAGTGAAAACACTTATCCTGTTAAAACCCACATTCTAAGTTACTGAAAAGAGTCATGGAATCTACCTACTTCTGTCCTTGTTCCCACAAACTGTCCATTCTCCATCTAACAGTCCCAAGTCAGGTGATTTTACTGACCACTTGAACGTTCCTTAGTCTTTAATCCCACTCAAGAGTGTAAGTGAGATGGTCTGTAAGGCCATCTGCACACAACAGACTTTTGGCAGTTGCCTGAACCTGGTAGCTCCTCTCTCAGAGTCTTTGTCTGTGTTCCTTCTACCTTGAAGGTTCTTTCCCCAGATATCTGCATGGCTTGCTTCCCACATTCTGCGTGTCTCTGGTCCAATACTCTCTTGACTGGGGTCTTCCCTGGTGACTCAATGTAAAAGAGCATTTCTCTCTACCATTCCTGTTGCCCTCCTATATTTTCACCAAGTTATTTATCTCCTCCATGTTGATATGCCATGTGGATTTGTTTCCTCTTGGGGTACAAGATCCAGGAACTTAAGTATATTGCATTCACTGCTGCTTCTGTAGACTCAGAATATGCTCTCACATGCACTAAGGCACTTAACAGCTACTTGTTGAAGAAATGATTAGTTTAGGTACACAGAAGCCAACTGAAAAATTTCAATTTGCCAGGCACCACAGCTTAATCCTAGCTACTCAAGATGGCTGAGATTGGAGGGTCTTGATTTGTAGCTAATGGAGGCAGAAGAGTCCCAATTAACCAGCAAAATTCCGAGGGAGGCATGGCTCAAGTGGTAGGGACAACTGTGGGCAACAAAGTGGAAGGAGAGCATGAGGTCTTGAGTTCAAGCCCTGTTACTAGCACACATGCACACGCACACATACACACACACACACACACACACACACACACACACACACACACACACAAATCCAGTTTAATTTCACCACCAACCTCAAAACCTAAAGATGACAAAGACCTACAGATTAAATAATTTAGAAGGTGAAGCAACAGTAACTTCTGTGAGGGTCAGGTCAATCTACCAGGAAATGAACTATTTGCTTGCAAAATTCGCAAATAAGATAGTTCACTACAAAAATATTACTGAAAATATATTTAAGCAAATTCAGACAAACAATCCATTTGCTGGACATCAACTTACGTTTTAAAACACGGATCACCGGACATTAGCTGCATGCTGATCAGAACCTAGATGTATGAACAAGAAATGCCACGATTACAAAGGATGACAGGAGAGCAGAAGCACATCTGCTCCCCCCCCCACCCCCTTGATTCCTCCACAACACTTAATCTAATGGCTTTTAGCTAGAAAGCACTAAATGGCTGTTAATCATCATGGGGGGAGTATACCCAGCATTACTGCTTTACATAAGCATAGATTAAAAATAGTTATTAATATTCAAAACCTTGTAATTACAAAAATCACACTGGAAAAGATAAGGGTAAAAACCCAGTGCTTTTCCAGTAACAACTACTCCTGCGGAATGTGTGATGCTGGCTGGTTTATCCATCTTTGCTCCCAGGGTCCTATGGTTGCTGTGTTGGGTGGCAGTGAGGATTCCAAATAATGCCTGCTAGTCTGGCCTGTCTCCCTTCCAGCAATGTTTAGCAGGCAGGAGGGTTCAACTAGCTAGAGTTGCCCATTACTTGGGGATATCAGGAATATCAGTATGAATATAATTATAGCCCTCTGTATATCAACTCTATAGTAAAAAAACAAAAAGTAAAAAAAAAAGATAACCATGGGCCATGGAATGTACGCTGGATGAGAGAGATATGGAAGCTGGCAGACTGTGAAGAAGTGGTTAAGTGAGAAGGCGAGAAGGTGGAAGACAGAGGAAGCTGGAGACAGGAAGCTGGAGACAGAGGACTGGGAGCTAAGGAGTCGATGCCAGAGAGGGGAAAACTTTAAACTGAAACGTTGGAAATAGTGAAGTTGCCAGTGACCAAGAAACCTAGCATGAGATTGTAGGAATAGAATGCAGATGAGGAAGAAAATGTGGGAAGTGAGAAGTGTCAGCAACGTTTTCAATGAGCTCCCAGGACAGAATATACTGCTAGTAGATTTGCACTCTGGTTTTAGCTGCTCCAGCCATAAAAGGTAGATAACAATCTTTGCCTATCCCTCCAGTCCTGCAATTTCATAGGGGTATGTGTAAGTGCTTTCAGAAACTTTAGAGCTATATAACCGTAAAATTATAAAACAGTCAGGCAGCGGTGGCTAACTAGCCTGTCATTCTAGCTACTCAGGAGGCTGAGATCTGAAGGTCACGGTTCAAAGCCAACCTGGGCAGGAAAGACTGTGAGATTCTTATTTCCAATAAACCATCAGGAAACCGGAAGTGGCTCTGTGGCTCAAGTGTTAGAGTGTTCGCCTTGAGCTGAAGAGCACTCAGGCCCAGACAGAGTTCAAGCCCCACAACTGACAAAAAAAAATTTATAAAACATGAAGTTTATAAAATGATACTTTTCTAGTTTCATTGTCTTCCCTCTCCCCTCCCCTTTTCTCCCTCCCCTTCTTCTCTCTGCCTTCAATTATCTTTTAAGTAGTTGTACAAATGGATTTCAATTAACATGTCAGTTTCCATTCACTTTTTTTATAGCCACTGAATTTGTACAAATATAATTTCATGTATTTCCATTTCTTCAGAGTTATGTTTGTGTTTGTGTGTGTGTGTGTGTGTGTGTGTATGTGTGTGTGTGTGTTGTCAGTAATGGAGCTTGATCTCGGAGGCTTACACCTTCTTTTAGCTTTCTGCTCAAGTGGTAGGCTGATGCTCTACTACTTGTGGCTCACTTTCACTTCAGGCTGGTTAAGTGGAGATAGTCTCATGGACTTTTCTGCCTGGGCTGGCTTTGAACCTCAATCCTCAGATCTCAGCATCCTGAGTAGCTAGGATTATAAGTCTTAGATACTCCCACCCAGCCAAATCTATGTATTTACTGAAATAATGTTTGAAAACTGTAGAGTTCTTCTGTGGTACCTCGGTTCCACCTCAGGGTCTTGATATGCCCTGCCACTTAAGACACTTCCTAACACATTTGCCTTTATCTTTCAAATAGAATGTCTCTTTTGTTTAGGGCTCGCTTGGGAACATGATCCTCCTATCTATGACCTTCTTTGTAGCTGAAATTACAGGTTAAGTATTACCATACCTAGCTTATTTGTTGAAATGAAGGGCATACTAAGCCCAGGTTGGCTTTGAACTTCAATCCTTCTGATCTCTGCTTCCCAAGTAGCTATGAGGGTTTTAGGTGTGAGCTATTATGCCAGGCCTTGGTGGTGCTGGGGATTGAACTCAAGGGCCTTTCTGAGCCATACCTCAAGCTCACTAAAAACCAGTCTGTTTCTATTCTAAACTATGTGCTTTCTTCTTATTAGGTAATTTATATCACGAGGTAATGAATTGGGAGTCTACTCTAGTGAGCTTTACAGGCAAATACTGCAAATACTGATCTCACTGAGTATGCTTATCAATGCTATTAAGTGTATATTTCTCTCTCTCTAAACCTAAGACTCCTGGTGGTACTTATAAATAGGCCACATGCCCAGATGTGGGTCAGACCCATTTACTTCACTAGTCAAGAGGGAACCCCGTGACTTCTATAAACCCCATCTAGCTGGTTTTGGAAATGACTTTGGGGAGCTACAAACATTTTAAGGAGTTTATTCACTCTTGACTCCCCTTCTCCCAGTGAGCACTCATGCTGTGGTAGTATGTGTAAGCTCCACCCCGGAAGGCGAGACAGACTCCTCCCTCCTCTTGGCTAAGTCTCCATCCAGTACCTGTGTCATCTAGATAACTGGCACACCTGGGCAGTCACTTCCCCCTCCTCCACCTAGGCCACCCAGGTCATGCCACCCCTTCGACTGGAGAGGGTCCCAGACCCTGAGGTCACACCTGAATTCGTGCGGCCATACCTTCTCTTACCTTCTCCCTGTCTCTTCCCTACTTAAACTCAGGCCGACCTCGGCTTGCCTCTTTGGGCCACGTGGTCTCTACCATGAGCAGAGGGGGCAACAGTTCCATAATAAAATAAACTTCTCTTCCTGCCTGAATTCTGCATGGCATTCTCTTTATCAGCTACCCAATTATATTTAATTTACCTTACAGTATGGACTTCTCAGAATGTTCACAAACTCACCTGAAATACCTTTGATCGTGAAGGTGGCTGTCTACTACTTTCCACTGCTCCTGTGAATTGGACAGGTCTTTTCCTAGCTGGTGTGTATTTGTATTTCAGAGGTGTGGCAGGCCTACCACCTCAGCACTGACTCACATCTTGTACTTGAAGGCATGCACCCGTGTGTCTTTATGGGCATAGAATCTCATCAGTCAGCATGTAAAGCTTGTGCACTTACTTTAAGAATGGAATTATCCTGTCTTGTATTTTTGGTATCATAGCCTTCCAGTAAGCAGCGACGAGTGGTATTTCCTGATCCAGCAAACTCTGCCAGGTTTAGATCTGCAAAGCCCAGCTAGGAAAAGAAAGAATTATATTAATAGAATATCTGGTAGGCTTCTATCATAGTCTCCTTAAAATAAGCATTCAGCCTATGTCTAGTCAAGTTTCCTCAAACAACAGTCCTTCCTAGTTCTTGCCATTTGAACACTCTTTTTTAGAGACTTTACCTGTGTTCTTAAATTGGCTTATGTTTTAAATAAAAATGTATTACCTATTCTACTCTTGTGCTAAGCAACAAAACCTTTGAATATCAGAGATTCCTGTATTAAATGTAAATATTAAAGTAAATTCGTTACCCTTACATTTAAACCAATGCATATCACACAATGAAAATCATTCTAGCAGTGGTGCTCACAGCACATTGTAAAAATGCTGACAAGTCACAGTCATTTGCATGCACACTCTCTTCTCTCTACTCTGGTTCCAGCTCTATGCCTAGTTACCAAATGGGGCTGCAGGCTCTTCTGTTTTCAATCTCCTTTAAGAACTAGTATGGGCAGAAGGAATCCTACAACCTTCTTTTCTGGTTTTTTTTTTTTTGGGGGGGGGGTCTGGTTGTGGGGCCTGAACTCTGGGCCTGGGCGCTGTCCCTCAGCTCTTCAGCTCAAGGCTAGTGCTCTACCACTTGAGTCACAGCGCCACTTCCGGCTTTTTTCTTTTTTGCTTATGTGGTGCTGAGGAATCGAACCCAGGGCCTCATGCATGCAAGGCAAGTGCTCTACCACTGAGCCACCTTCCCAGCCCCCTACAACATTCTTTTGTACCAGCTCTTTTTCTTTTCCCACTGCCAAGTCTTAACCTTAATGATTCCTGTGAGCCAGCTCTCTTTCTGGAACCTTCCTTTTCTCCTTTTCTCCTAGCTCCACCCACACTTACCTTCTCTGGTCCTACCCAGAGATGCAGTGTAGACCTGCTCCTCTTCTGTATTACCCCCAAGACCTAGCTCCTATTTTCTGCAGTTACCAAAGTTTTGTCTATAGCCCTCCCTTGGATGTTGTTCAATACTATTTCTTATTTTCAAGAAGTACAGGTCACACTTGCTATATCATGTCTTTTTGTGTGTGTGCTGGGACTAGGGCTTGAACTTGTGGCCTGGGTACTGTTCCTGAGCTCTTTTTGCTCATGGCTGGTGCTCTACCACTTGAGCCACTGCTCCACTTCTGACATTTTGTGCTTAATTGGAGGTAAGAGTCTGACTGACATTTCCTGCCTTTGAACTGGGATCCTCGGACCTCAGTCTCCTGGGTAGCTAGACTTATAGGCATAAGCCACTGGTACCCAGCTATCTATTTTTTTGAACAGTCGACTTCTAAATGACTAAGCATTTCTTGAGTCTTTTACTAATGGTAGGCATGGTGGCACAAGCTTGTAATCCCAATACTAGGGAAATTGAGGCAGGAGGATCCCACATTCAAGGCAAGACTGGGCTGTATAGTAAGTCTTAGGGCAGCCTGAAGTACATAGCAAAACAAACTGAGCTTGCAGTTAATGAAGCACTTGTTCATAAACATATCATATAAAGTACATTTCAGACACTGTTGAGATTCCATCAAGATTTTAAACAGAGTAGTACATCTGAGTAAGATTCAATATGAATTTTCTTCTTTTTATCCTTCCGTTTTGTGTGTGTGTGCTTGTGTGTGTGTGCTGGCACTAGGGCTTGAACTCAGGGCTTGGGTGCTGTCCCTTAGCCTTTTCATTCAAGAGTAGCACTTTAACACTTGAACCATAGCTCTACTTTTGGCTTTTTCGTGGTTAACTGGAGATAAGAGTCTCTCAGATTTGCCAGCCTAGTCTAGTTTTGAACCTCAATTCTCAGATCTCAGCCCCCTGAGCAGTTAGGATGACAGGATCAAGATGATTTATTTTTTAATTAAAAACTTTTTTTTTTCAAGACAAAGATTTGAAACTGCAAATGGGAAAATTATTTTAGTAGCTTTAAACTGGCACAAGAAAGAATGAGTCCTAAATGCAGTAAGTCAGGTACACAGCAAGGTAACATCTACTTTCACATAGTTGGTCTTACTGTCTTTTATGGGCACAAAAGCATGCAAATGAGTATGAAAAGAATCATGAAACTTATCTGGTTACAAAGTATCAACACACCAGATCTCATATATTTCTCTTTCCCTCTGAACCTCCAACACCTCATTCCTGTCCTCACTCTCTGCCAATGACCTTGCCTCCTATGCACTCAGAAAATAAAAGCAAAAGCAATTACAAGAGCACTTAGCTTCCATAAACTCATAACCGCAAGCCACATCCACTTGCCTACCTGCACTGGCACCTTCTATTTTCCTTTCCACTTTGATCTTGGCTGTGTTCCTGAGGACAAACTTCTCACCTCCTGCAGACTCAAGTTCATTACTTCAGCAGCTCTTCCTGCTCTTGGTCATTCTAAAGTCTTTCCTCTACATTGGACTATTTCCATCAGTGGACAAAGATACTGGGTTTTCTATTTGGTTCTTAATGGACAAAGCAAAACCCCATCTCATCTCTCCTTTACTACTGGATTATTTTTCTGCCTTCCCATCCCATCCTCCCTCCACCAAAGTCCTTGAGAGAGTTATCTATGTTGTCTCTATTACTGGCCATGCAGCCAACTGTACTTCCCCCCCCCCCCCCCCGCCCCCCGCCTTATTTATCTTGCTAGCTTCAAAGCTCTGTTCTTTGGAAATGTCAAGATCACCTTTAAGCCTTTAAACTCTTGTTCTCTGCCTGAAATATTCTCTTGGACAGTACTGTATGTTTATTATTCACTCCATACATGTAAATGTTACTTCTCTAAAGGAGACGTCATTGAACAAAACTTAGATCACTGACTTACTGTACATGGCTGTCATAGTAACATTATATTTGCCCCTAAGTTAAAAACAATCTTATCTATGTTATAAATCATATACTTTGCTTCTCCAGAAGTTATATACTGAAACAATAGTGCCAAATAGGATGGTATTTGGTGCTGGGGCCTTTGGGAGGGAATTAGGACATGATGATAAATAATTTAATAGCCCACACCCCTGGTAGTAGGGTACAATCTGAAGGCCTTATACATGTTAAGCATGTGCTCCTACCACTGCTACTACTGCGCTACATCCACAAGCCTAGACTAGTGATTTTTTTTTAATGGTACTGGGGTTTGAACTCAGGCCTTTGTGCTTGGTGTTCAGGTGCTCTACCCCTTGAGCCATGCCTCCAGACTGATTTAATGCTTTCTGCCATGTGAAGATATAATGAGAAGCTAGTCATCCACAAACTGGGAAGTAATCTCACCAGACATAGACATTTGTGTCTATTGTTTTTGCCATCCAGTTGCAGAAACCCAAACAAGTTGGTCTACATTAGGAAAACATATTAAAGGGAGGTAAATTGCAATGTGATGTCTACACTGAAATTACTAACGAATGAGGTTAAATTTTACTGAGCATCTTTTATGTGCAAGGCTTTGTTCTAAACACAGGAAAACATGAAAACCAGGACAAACACTCTTCCTTCAAGGTAAGGTACAAGAGAGTCTGTTCCCTATGGTTTTTTCTTTGACTTTACTAAGATAACTGTTTAATGAAAATGATATATATGTCACACATATATACTGTATCTGTAGTAAGGTATTAATTAACTCAGGAAATATTATACATAAAATATTATTATATGCAAATATTATAATATATTATTATATTATGTAGTATTAGATGTAAAATAGTATTATTTTGCCCGCTGATATTTGGTACTAGGAACATACTAATATTTTTCCTTCTTTCTTCCCTCCCTATTCCTGCTCTCTTGTTTCTTTGTTTCTTGTAGGAATTGAAGCTATGGCCTCGTACATTATACTAAGCAAGTGCTCTGCCCTTGAGCAGAGCAGATCATCTATAGAGTTATTCTGTCATGGTTTAATACAGGAAAACAGAAAACAAACTCATGTGATAAAGTCTGGTAAGTGTATGATAGATGCAGATACAAGCACAAGAGAGGAAAAGATATGTTCTTAGTGGCAAGGCATGACTCAGTTCATCTTTAAGGAGCTGTGAGTTGACAAGATAAGAGGAGAGAGAAGTATACCCATGGCATGGTGAGAAAATGTCCAGTCACAAGGCACAGCAGCAAAAATAGCAGGAGCTACTTACTCCAGGAAGCCAACAATGGCAGAATGCTGCAAAAGAATGAGAGGAGGAAGCGAGGCAGACAGACCCTACGTGTCGAGCAGAAGACATGAAGGAGCAGAAATAATTTGAAATAAAAATGGGGTTCTATTGATTAGTTTATAAAGTTTTTAAATGCCTTTATAAGCAATAACTATTGTGGAGGGACTGGAAGAGGAAGATGATCAAGTTTACAAAGATTGCTCTGGCAACGCTATGGAGGAAGGCAACAACAGAGACGGATAAGAGGAGGCCAATATGGGCTGTTAGTAAGAAATAATGAAAGCTGGGTGCCGGTGGCTCATGCTTGTAATCCTAGCTACTCAGAAGGCTGAGATTTGAGGATCATGGTTCAAAGCCAGCCCTAGCATGAAAGTCCAAGAGATTCTTATCTCAAATAAACCACTCAGAAAACTGGAAGTGGTGCTGTGGCTCAAGTGGTAGAGTGCTCACCTTGAGCTGAAGAGCTCAGGGCCAGTGCCCAGGCACAGAGTTCAAGCCCCACAACTGAAAAGAAAGAAAGAAAGAAAGAAACCATATCTAAGGTAGCAGCCTTGGGAATAGAGAGAAGGTATGGTTTTCAAGAGCTTTACAAAGAGAAAAAAAAAATCAAGAGCATTCATTGGTTGTAGCAGACCATGCATGTCACCTCTCTGCCCAGCACCCAGTGATCTGCTATGTTTTGCTAGCAGAATCTGTTTTTAATTGAGTTATTTAGTCTCCTTATTCATCCATGTGCACCATCCATGTGCATCCTAGCTCACTGTTAAATTATGGTAAGTCTAAGATAACCAGAACAACCCACCCATTCCTTTGTCCACAAATGTCTTAAGTGAGCATATGCTCCAGTTCTGGCCAATTAAGGATATGAGAGTCCTTTAAGAAACCATCTAGGGAAAGCTTTCTTATTCAGCAAAGTATAATACAAAGAGAGGCAGATGGCCTTTATCACATGCAAATGTGCTAAAAGTTGAGATGCCAGGAAGTGGAAGTGTAGTTCAAGTACCAGACCTCCAGGAGCACCAGCCATGGGCAGAAAAGCTAAGCAAGAGTGCAAAGCCCTGAGTTCAATCCCCAGTACTGGCACACAAGCACATAAAAGAACCAAGTTATCAAATATAGAATATAAGATAAATATAACCAATCCTGGAGCAGCTCAATTTCCTAGTTCTTTTGTGAGGTTAAGAAGTATCTCTAGTTGAGAAATGTTTTCTGTTACTTCGAGCAAAGAACATCCTGGCTGACAATGCAAACCACTAGATTTAGGCAAGTAGGTTTACTGGTTAAATGTAGTTTCTATGTCTTTGGCTCAGATGGCTGGCTGGCTAGAGATATTCACAGGGATTAGAAATAAAAGATGAGTGTGTGGGTTTCTCGTAGTATTACTCATTCATTCATTCTATCCTGCTTAATTCCATACAGCTAGCAACAAGAGCAGTGGTGATATACAGTGATATATCACCACTTTCTCTGTGGGCTACATATTCATGGATTCAACCAATCATATATAAAAAAAGTCATCAAGGGTTTGGGGGTACAGTTTGATGACAGACTGCTTACCTAGCATGTGCAAGGATCTCAGTTTGAACCCCAGAACCACACACACACAAACTGGGCTTGTACTAAACATGTGCAAACTTTTCTTCTTGTAATTGTTCTCTATAGTATTTATTTTGCATTGAAGTAATTCAGAGACAATTTAAATATATGGGAGGATATGTGTAGGTTATATACAAAAACTATGCCATTTTATACAAGGGACTAGAGCATCATGGGGAAGGGAGAGCCATGGAAGCAATCCTTTGCAGACAGCACAGGACAGATGTATTGACTGTGAGGACAGCACAGAGGCCCAATGAGGAGAGATAGTACTGGCAATACTTCCCAAGTGAGGCTGTCTGAATATTAGGCAGCAATAGCATCAAGAAAACCAGATAGCTGAGAGCTGGTTGTTTATGTTTGTAATCCTAGTTACTTAGGACACTGAGATCTGAGGACTGCAGTTCAAAGCCAGATGAGGCAGTAAAGTCCTTAAGACTCTTCTCTATTTAACCACCCCAAATCCAGAAATGGAGCTGTAGTTCAAGTAGTGGAGACTAGCCTTAAGCACAAAAGCCCAGTGACAGTGCCCAATCCCTGAGTTCAAAAGAAAGAAAGAAAGAAGGAAAGAAAGAAGGAAGAAAGGAAGGAAGGAAGGAAGCAAGGAAGGAGAAAACCAGATTTTTTTCTAGTAGGCAAGCTAAAAAATAAGGATAGCATCTCATAATAAGGATTTAGAAAGAATATGTTTGCCAGGCTCTGGGGGTTCATATCTATAACCCTAGCTATTCAAGAGACTGAGATCTGAGAATCGTAGTTCAAAGCCAACCTGGTCAGACAAATTGAGAGATTCTTTTCTCCAAATAACTAGCAAAAAAAGGCAGAAGTGGAGGTGTGGCTCAAGTGTTAGTGTGGCTCAAGTGGTAGAGTGCCAGCCTTGAGTAGATAAAGATAAGAAAAGGATATTAGTTCAAGTTCCACTACCGGCACAATAGAGAGAGAGAGAGAGAGAGAGAGAGAGACAGACAGACAGACAGACAGACAGAGAGAAAGAGACACAGAGACACAGAGAGAAAGGAAAGGAAGAAAAAAGAGAGGGAGGGAGAGAAAAAGAGAAGGGGGAGAGAAAATATGCTTATAAATTATTGCTGGATCTAACTATTATATCTCTAAATTGTTTTTTGAAGGTCAAGCTTGAATAATAATTGTACGAATAAACCAATGAATGATATCACAAAATCCATAGGAGTTGAAGATTTACTTACCTTTGCGTAAGCTTTTCCACCTTTTAATTCCTGCCAAAGATAGAACACACTTTAAGGATATGGTGTGAGCAAGGATTTAAAATTAAATATCTGTTAAATAGTTCTGAAGTAGATATTTATGCTTGCAAATATCATAAAGAGGCTGGATGCTGGTGGCTCATGCCTGTACTCCTAGCTACTCAGAAGGCTGAGATTTGAGGATTATGGTTTGAAGTAGAAGTCTATGAGACTTTAATCTCCAATTAATCACCAGAAAACCAGAAGTGGTACTATGGCTCACAGTAGTACAGTGCTAGCCTTGAACAAAGAGAGCTCAGGAACAGTGCCTGGGCCCTGAGTTCAAGCCTCATATCCAACTCCCTGCCCTTCCCCCACCTCCCCAACCCCACAGTAAAATTCTAACTACTTTTTTATTTATTTATCTTAATTTTTATTTATTATATTTACGTAGTTGCACAAAGGATTTCAATTCAGCATGTCAGTTCGAGTACAATGCATCTTGATCTACGTCATCCTTTCTTCTGCTCTATCCCTCCCTTATTTATTAATCTTAAAACTATATATCCCAGGCTTATCTTGATTGTGATTCTTTTACCTCAGTAGCAGAGATTACAGGTATATACCACCATGCCCAGATTCAAATCTAAACTCTTTAGCAAGGCTTGTAAGTCTTGCCTAATCTGGAGTGACCAACCTCATTATCAAAAACTCTCAAACTCCAGCCAGACTAGACTTGTCATTTAGACATGAGACATTTGTTGTTTGCACCAGAGAGGCTTCACAGCACTTCTTGAACTTGTGGTTCATCTTTGATCAGTTTTGGAAGATATCTGGCCACAATCTCTGTTCTCTTCTTCGAGGGTTCCAAGGACATAGATGGTGGATCCGAACACTGTTTTCCAGGTGTCTTAGACTATTTTATGGAAAAATCTATCCTTTTTATCTCTATAATTGTGTGTATTTTCTTAGTTTCCAAAATTAGTGTTCTCTTTAGTTGTGGTAAACCTACTATTAAGTCCAACTGTTGAGTTTTTTTTAAAGTCTATTAGTAGTTTATATAGTTTTCAACCTCTAATTTTCTTTCTCCCCTACAGTTTTTAGTCCTCTGATGAAATTTCCTAGTTTGCTCACAATTTATTATACAAGTAGGTCTTTGATCTTTCCAAAGCTTGCACTTTACAGAGATTTGTTTTTACCATTTATTTTTTGCTAGATTAGTGGGAATATACCTCAACCTAACGTGAAAAAGGAGATATATTTTTAAAAAATGGAACCTGTAATCAGAAGTGTGCTGAAGTCTTTTTTCTTTATTATTTTTTGTAGTAATGTAAATTTGGGGAAGTAACTTCACTTCTCTGAGCCAGAGTATCTTGAAAGTAGTGAAAATAAATCTGATTTCAGGATTGTTATTAGACATAATATAAACAAAGGTTGCCAAACTATGCCTACCAAAGGACATGAATTTAATAAATGGCAGAAAATACATATAAACAGTTCCCAAATCGGTACAAATTAATACACATATGCACAGCAAGAGGGAGATGAAGCTCCTTGAATATTTTAAATTATATTTTCAGGTTCTTCAGCATATTTGTCACAGGAATTAAAATGATTGCTCTATGTATGAACTGAAATTACATGTAACAGTTCTAACGATAGAGCAGAGTTAAATAAAGTGAGGCAGTGACTGTGGAGCTAATTCTGTTTTTAAGGAAGAGGAGAAATAATAGGCTATTTTTATACCTTCCTTACAGATACTCTGTAGATACAGGGATCCAGGATGCCTGTGGCAGCACTTGCACTCATTTTGCACATAAATGAGAACTTCTTTCTCCAGTGGACACAGTTGGCTTGCACTACCTCCCTGAATGAGGGGAAAAAAAGATCAATTACTTATTATCAATGACATGTTTTCAGCATACACTCACCTTTTCCCTCAAGGCTATATGCAAAAATGATATACTAAAGCATTTGTAAATAGTAGAACAGGAAAAAAATTATTTCCTAACAATGATCTGTACATTTCTGAAGCTAAAAAAGGGAAAATTTACTTATCAGTTTGGTCAATATAAATGGAGACTTTGCTATTCATTTATTTGATATGCAATGCACACATGGATAGGTATATGCTAGGTGTTTAAAACAAAGATGGGAAGCATAAGCTGGGTGCCTATGGCTCATAACTGTCATCCTAACTACTCAGGAGGCTGAGATCTGAGGATCATCGTTTGAAGCTAGTTCAGGAGAAAATTCTGTGCTATTTTTATCTCCAATTAACCAGCCAAAAGCCAAAAGCCAGAAGTGGAGGTATGGCTAAAGTGGTAGAGTGTCAGCCTAGGCAAATGTTAGTGAGACCCTATCTCAATCAATAGCTGGGAATAGTGGTGAATATTTTTCATCTCAGCTATGTAGGAAGCATAAATAGGAGGATCACAGTCCAGTCCAGGCTTGCCATGGCAAAAGTCCAAGACCTATTGGAAAAATAAGTAAAAGGGACTGAGTTGTGATTCAAGTGGTACAATATCCATGTGGCACGTTCAAGGCTCTGAGTTGAAACAGTGACACACACACACACACACACACACACACACACACACACACACATTAAAATCCCTCAGGAATATATTAAACTTCAAGGCACATGATTGTTCCTGTAATTGGAACCACTGGTATATGACTGGGTATCAAGAAAAATTAAAACTCTGATTATTTTAAGTCTTTGGAAAATAAAATTAAGTCAGATGACAGTGGCTCATGTTTGTAATCTTAGCTACTCAAAAGGCTGAGGTCTGAGAACTGAAGTTCAAAGCCAGCCCAGGCAGACAAATCTGTGATAATCTAATCTCCAATTAACTAGCAAAAAACCAGAAGTGGAGCTGTGGCTCAAGAGTGCTAGCCTTGTATGAGAAAGTTGATCAAGAGCACCAGAACTGGCACCAAGAAAAAATATAATAAAATATAATTAGATCAAAGTTCTAGCTAATGATAGACAGGTTGACATATATTGGCCTCTATTTACTTCCTTAAACCCACTAAGTTAAAAAACAAAAAAGGGAAGGCATTATCTCACAAAGTCAGAGACGTCTAGAGAAAAGACAAAAATAAGCAGAGGCAGACAGGTGATATCTAATTTAGCACACTGAAGAAATCTGAACCTTTTGTTCTTAATGTTCAAAGTCAAGAGTGGCAACTTCAATTGGTCCTGAAATAGAAAGGAGGAGGAAGAAAAGTAGAAGGATTGATTGAAAACTGTTGTGGAAAAAGTCACACCCTGACTTCTGCAGAGAGCTGACATATCCCACTGATGGTAAACCAGGCAAACACCTGGCCTGCCTCAGCCTGGCAGGTATCAGAATGACACGTTGGTGGGAGCAATGAGAGATGAGAGATGATGCTGAGCCTCCTCCTCTTCTCTGGCTTCCGTAATGCTAGAACTAGATATAGGGAGATGTGGGAGGAATATATTCTGGGCAATCCAACCACCTTAAAAACAAAAAAAAGCTTTAATGAGATAAGACATTGAGGGGTTACAGCTCGGCTCACTCCCGCTACAATAAATACCTGTGCTGACAAACGTTCTCCACATGCCTCAGTGAAGGAGGAGCAAGCACACAGGAAAGTCTTGTCTTAGAGAAGGCAGAGAGCAAAATGAATAGGAAAAAAGCAAATTGAACAACGTTCAAGACAAATTTTCAGAGATAAAAAAAGAAATTGCACCTGCCATACAAGAATAGGATGTTATATAAAAAGAACAGATAGGGAACTACGAAGTGCTCACAGAAATCAAAACTACTGGCTTGGTAGTCTATTTGCCTTTCTGAACCACGCACCCTTCTTTGCAGCCCATGAGGCCGGTCTAAAGGGCAGCAGCAGCCAGATTTCCCGGTCTCCACCTCTGAGTGTGTAAAGGAACCCCAGCAGAAGGATGGAGGGCAGGCGCAAAGAGGAAAGCACACTTGTTCTCCTGGCTCCTTTCCTTTTTGAGCATGTGGGAAATGAAGACGTGTTGGGGACTTCAGTTTGACACACTGTAAATGATGTGCCTTTATGACTTCGCTAAAATAAAAATTACACTAATTAAAAATTGTCACACACTGAATATTCTGAAAAAGGGAACAAAAATACATAGAAAAAGCTGGACACACCTGTAATTCTAGCACCTGAGAAGATGAAGTAGAAGGACGACAGTTTTAAGGCCAATATGGGCTATATAATGACACCCTGCCTCAAAAAAACTTACCTTACTACCTTCCTTATGTAATTGTAACCCCTCTGTACATCACCTTGACAACAAAATTTTTAAAACATTAAAAAGAGGTATGTAATACTGCAAGGTATCTTTTCTAATTGCTTAAAAAACCCACTGAGAACCTTCTTCGCTATCTAGCGTATGATTCACACAATACGTGTGTTGGTAAATAATCTGTCCTTACAACAAATATCTCAGATAAATCAATTTATCAAGGAAAAAGGCTTATTTTAGCTCACGGTTTTAGAGGTTTCAGTCTATAACTGACTAGCCTGTTGGTTTGGGCCTGTGGGGGGCAGCACATCATGGCAGATGTATATAGCGGAGCAAACTGTTTAGTTCATGGTCAGGGAGCAAGAGAAGAGGAAAAGGCTAGGCTCACACTGTACATTTGAGGACAATGCCCCAATGACCTGAATAGTACCTTCAATAGTACCATGCCAGGGACCGTGCCTATAACACATGGACCTTTGGATCCAAATTTAAGAGCCAAACTTAGCAGTGTCTTAAAATGTTACCTTAATGTTATCTTAAAAAGTTGTCTAGGAATTATGTAATAAATACAAAATATCCATTAATATCCCAAACCCTAAAACCTTTTATTATTATTATTGTATTTTGTTGGTCATGGGGCCTGAACTCTGGGCCTGAGCGCTGTCCCTCAGCTCTTCAGCTCAAGGCTAGCATTCTACCACTTGGGCCACAGTGCCACTTCCAGCCTTTTCTGCTTATGTGGTGCTGAGGAATTGAACCCAGGGCCTCATGGATGCAAGGCAAGTACTCTACCACTGAGCCACCTTCCCAGCCCCTTTATTATTTGCTTTTAAAATGTATTCTTTGGCTGATACTAGGGTATGAACTCAGGTCCTTACACTCACTTGGCTTGCCTGCTACTGCCTTGCACTCTACCACTTGAGTCATGTCTTCAGCCCAGCTTTTCAGTAGTTAACTGGAGATGGAGTTTCTCTTCTTCCCAAGCTGACTTTGAGACCCTCTAGAGCTCAGCCTCTTAAGTAGCTTGGATTATAAGTGGGAGTCACTGGCATATGACTTGTTTTATGCTTTGTCACTTTTCATTTGTTTGTGAAATATTAGTAACTGCAGACATAAGTCATGTTTTTATCTAGTTTTAAATGTAGCAGTTGTTATATGTTAATAGTATGTGCTACTATTTATTCAAATAGAAGGTGGCTTTTGACTGAGTAATAAAAATCAATGACAGCAAGTGACCTCTATATGTGGGTATATCTCTTTAAAAGCAAATAAGCAGGAAAGAAGTATTTGCAGAAGTATCTAACTTAGGTAGAGAGTGGAAGAAGCCACTATTTAAGTCTGGGAAAGAATAAGAGATAAACTTCAGCAACATTACAAACATGGGCAAATAACTGAAAATACAAGGTAACAGGATAAAGAAAGAATTTTAATATGGAACATGACCTGAAATATTCTTAAGGGGAAATCACACTGTTTGCTACTACTCTGGTCTTCAGGTCCAAGCTGATGGTGACATTAAGCACAATGATGACAATCTTCACTGGGTGCTTATTATATACACTAAACACGGCTTAAATATGTTTTATGTGTTAAAAGACTTAATCCCCCAAGCAACTCTGGGAGAATTACATATTTTATAAAGGAACTAAGATACAGAGAAAACAAGTGACTTGGTTGAGGTCACTTAGCTAAAAAGGGTTAGAGGTAGAATTCTCATTTCCTTACACAGTCACTTTTTCAATACCCCAGGGTCAGGCTTCTACCCATTCTCCTCCACTGAAAATTGCCACCTATGAGCAGCCAAGCGCAAAATCTGATGGACTCCTTTTAAAGAATACTTGACCCTTTTTACACAGTGTGTGTGTGTGTGTGTGTGTGTGTGTGTGTGTGTGTGTGTGTGTGTATGTGCTGGTACTAGGGCTTACACTCAGGGTCTGGGTGCTGTCCCTGAGCTCTTTTTTTCAAGGCTAGTGGTCTACCACTTGAGCCACAGCACCCCTTTTCTGGAGTTTTGGCAGTTAATTGGAGATAATTGTCTCAATGGCGTTCATGCTTAGGCTGGCTTTGAACCGTGGTCCTCAGATCTCAGCCTCATAAGTATCTAGGATTACAGGTGTGAGCTACTGGAGCCCAGGACTTTCTACACATTTTAACTGCAGTCTCACCTCTTTCTATTTGTGTGATTATTTCTTCTCAGTTTAATTTCTTTTTTTTTGGTCGGTCGTGGGGCTTGAACTCTGGGCCTGGGCGCTGTCCCTCAGCTCTTCAGCTCAAGGCGAGCACTCTACCACTTGAGTTACAGCGCCACTTCCAGTTTTCTGGTGGTTTATTGGAGATAGGAGTCTCACGGTCTCTCCTGCCTGGGCTGGCTTTGAACCGAGATCCTCAGATCTCAGCCTCCTGAGTAGCTAGGATTACAGGTGTGAGCCACCAGCGCCCAGCTTCAGTTTAACTTCTGTCTCCTTAAAATTCTGACCAAGCTTCTGTTCTTGGATTATAATTTACATCAGAAATTTTAACTATTATGCATATATTGAGAATTTATAAATCTAAGTTTTTTTTTTTCTTTAATCTTTGGCAGTGATACTTGGTACTCTTGGCCTCTAGTCAATGCTTTAAGC